AAGTTTGCCTATTCACAAAAACATATATTCCTATTCGCAACTTCATATGAAGATTTTAAAGACTTTTTTTTAAAAAAAATAAATCTTTTAAAGTTGGCAAATACAGTTCAGGAGCGTGGCTTTCTAACCATATAAATCTTACCCTTTTATGTTAAATATTACAGAAATCTATATTGTACAGAAATTTGCGTTACTATTACTATATAAATTTGCTATGTCGATAAATATAAAATCTCACATGATACGTAATACCCTTAACCATCTTATTCAGAGATGACTTAAGAAATCTTGAGATATTTACACCCTTACCTGACTCTACTTTTTTTTGACCCAATATAAATAATATAGATTTTACTATCTCTTTCTATCAATTTCACCTTCTCACCAAAACTTGCAATATTTGTATATATGATTTTAGTTACTTAATTTGCTTTGGCAATAATGTCAAAATCAATTTGAGGGTTTTAGTTTATAGCACCTGAATCTTCACTGATATTATCAGATAATCTATTATAATCTTTATAATCTGCTTGTTGAATAATACGTTTTTGTGGTTTTGATCGAATAGATTTAATCTGTTGTTTATAGACTGGTGCTTCGTAATTGTACTTGAAAATTTTTGGTAAGTTTTTCTACCTGAATCTTAAGTAACTCTTGTAGTTGTTTTTGAGTAATCCTAAATAACTTTGATATTAATACAACAGATTCCTGTTTTTCTAATGGAGGTTGAGTTACATCATTGTAATTTACTCAAAGTTTTCAATTTCTATCTTATAACCCTAAATATATTTCAGCTAAAGATGTTAGCCTTAATTATTTTTTAAAAAATTTTGAATTACAGCTATAAGATTTTTATAGCCTTAATTAATTACGGCATATAAAAATTTTGTATTACGACACTTTTTTGAATTACGGCTAATATCTTTAATTTCAGCCCTTTTCCATTCTAAATTTCTCAGATATTTAACCAAATTATTGGAATTAAGATTGTTTAAAACCTTTCTGCTTCAAAAATATTATTAGCTGAAAGATCTCTAAAGAACTGGTCGATAATAAGATTATCAGTAAGATTTAGTAATTTTCCAGCCCTTTTTACAGTTCTATAAAACACATCAACTGGCTTATTTTCTTGATAAAAACTGTTAAAATGTATACATTTCTTTTCATCTAAAATAGTTGGAAATTATATTTTAAGCCAATAAAGCACTTAATTAGATTTAATACCTGGAAAAACTATAAACTGATTATCATTATTAGCCAGAACAGCTCTATCTGTCAGTTAAACACCAGCTTGTTCCCAAGCTTTATCTCCATCTACTAAATCATGAGTAGGAATAAATGCTACTCTAATAGTTGCTGCTGTATTAGCCGCATCTGCTGCATTTCTGTTAAACCTTCTGGTACTGCTAATACTACAAAAGCAGCTAAATTGGCTATCTGAGTTTCTTCAGAATAAACTCTAGAAAAATGATCATTTATTGGAGTTTTTACAGAATTTTTTTTATAGGATAGGTATTAATGATAGAAAATTATGGGAAAATAAAGTTATTAGTAATTTAGTGAATGCATAAAATATTATATGGAGATTTTGATATGGAGAGATTTAGGATGCTTTGTTTTCCTAATATAATATGTAATTTGTTCTTCTACAGTTACTAATAAAAAAATACGTTTATTAAATAATAAATAAAAATTGGCAAATATAATGACTTGCCAATTTTAATAATGAATAAAAATCAGCAAATTATTAATAAAAATCGATTAAATATTAGCCGATTTATGGGTTTTTTTAAGCTAAAATTGTTCAAAAAATCGGCCAGTTGAATTTTTTCCGATTTTTATTATTAGCTGAATGTGTGACAAATCATGTGACTGATTTTTTGATTGCTGAAAGGTTTTATTGACGAAAGACATTATTTTGACTAGTGATATGAAAGTGAAATTTCCACTAGTAACCTATCTTAATAGTAGGTGGTCCTACTTACTTGTACATTTAGCTTTGCATGTTTCGAATTATCAGTTTTAATTAAGTATTTAGTATTCTGGCACTTATATTTTTGTAAACCTTATCAGACCATTTTCTAAATACCATTTTCCTGAATATACCTTTTCCCAAATCCAATTTTCTGAATGCCTATTTCCAGAAATCGATTATTTCCTGAAACTCCATTTTACCGAATGCCAATTTCCCAAATCTCAATTTCTGGAATTATATGAAACATCCAATTTTCTGAATTCTTTTATCCTGAATTATTTTATTACAAATTCCAATATCATGAACCCTGATATTCTGAATTGACATTTTACTGAATTTAATATTATTTTGTATAATTTTACATCATAAATTAGAATTATTAATTTCATAAACTCAACTTTTATTTTACTTTGTATTAAAATAAATACTTAAATAAATAATGCAAAAGCGAACAGATTTTATTATTCAATTAAAGTATCTGTTTGAAATTTGTACCTGTATCAAATCTTTTTCTCCTAAAATACAAATTAATTATATTTACTTGATGTTTAGAAAAATATTATCAAGCACTTAAACTCAGTGGGTCAGAGAAAAATTTATTAGCTAAAAATACAATTCTCATAAAATTTTCATTAAACACAATCTATTGTTATAAAAAAAATCTTTTATCAATTTTATTAGTACTAGTATTAGTATACTTTTAAAAATAAACTAATAAATGTTTATTAGTAACATACAGTTAGTTTAATATTACAAAAAGTTGAATTATATTAATAAATCTCTAATAAATTTCATTTATAACAAGTACTTTAAAAAATTTTTACAATTGTTAATGTTATATCTGCTTTAAATACTGCATATTTGAATAATAAAACTTATAGTTATCAATAGTTCTTTATTTTTTAAATTTATCATATAGTTTATTTATAAATCATACAAAAACATACAGTTTATTATATAATTCAAGAAATTGTCCATTCGGAATATTAGAATTCTGAATATTAGAATTAAGGATATTTGAATTCGGGATATTGGGATTCAGGATATTGGGATTTAAGATTCGGGAAATTAGACTTCAGGAAATGAGATTCGGGAAATAAGGATTTGGGAAATTGTATATTTCAGGAAAATGTTCAGTTCGGAAAATTGGCATTCAGGCAAATGACTTCAGGAAAAGATATATTCAGGAAAAAGGCGTTCAGGAAATCGTACTGTAACCTTTTGTAAAGGGGCATACCATTAAGTCACTGTAGAAGTTGTGCAGTTCTTCTACATCATCTCCTAACCAACCTACACTTTTTTCTGATTGATTAACTCTCTTTTTAAGCTTTGAATGATAATCTTCCATTTTTTTCTCTAGAACCCTAATATCTTCAGAAAGCATACTATATACTTCTATACTTTGCTTATTTAGTCCAAATAGCTTGGCTAATTTCTCCAGTATATCTGATAATTTCCTGCTCGCTGGGTGCATTGTCAGATGAATGTTTTTGATCGGCTACCATTTGAGTTTTGTATTCCAAATCCTTACTATAGGTAATGCTTCGCACTATTAGGATAGTATTAGGATACGGAAAATTAACTCACAAATATAATGACACACTAGATTTAGTAGATTAACTATTAAGTGGAGATTTAAACAGACGTAGAAATCTTTTCAAAGGATTTCATCATCTGTTATTATGAGTTACTATTTATTTGAAAGTTATTTAATTATTTAAATTTCTTAATCCACACATCAAATTACCAGATCGAAAGAGGATTGAAATTCATTCAAAAAAAATAATTTAAAAGATTATAGCTTTCAACCGAAAAGCCAATATGAAGTTTACTAAAACGGTCACCAATAATACTTTTCAGGAATTGAGACTTGTCTCCATATAAGGTCAGATGAACGCTTGAAGACATTTGAATTTACAAAAGTAAAGGTGATGCAAATAATATTAATATGCATGATTATACTTTATTATTAGATATTGTATACAGTGTATTTTTGAGAATTTGTTTTTTGCAGAACGTTTTTTTAATAAAATACCAATATTAGTATTGCTATTTGTAGATTGATAATAATAATTATATTAAAATATAATAATAATACATAAAAATAACAATATGAGTGTTACTATTTGTCAAATTAAAAGATAAAAAGAATCCGTTTATTTTGGATTGTATGCATAAGTTTGAGATAATTTGCAACCCTGCCGACAATGCGTAGAACCGGAATAAAGACAACCCGCATACGTCATCAATTCCACATCAATATTAGTTCCCGGAGGGGGAAATTTCGCAGGGTCATAATAGTCGGTCTGGTGGCTCCGTTATACAAAGAAGAACAGTCCGCACAGTCATAAACACGACCACTACCTCTACTATAATTTGCAACATTATCTGCGCTGTACCCATTTACCCATCTACGTTCATCCCATACAGTGTAAATCACATTATCATTGTAGGTAAACTATGTATTAATCTTAAACGTAACTGGACTCCTCTTTGCGATATCAACTCAAAATCATTTGATCCAAAACCCCAATATTCACGAATAGGAATTTTCCTTAAACACTTCATATCATCAGGAGTACCATCATTCCTTACTATCTCCCAAACTTGTTTTGCCAGTAATTCCTGTAAGCTCGCTGGATAATTGTTGCATAGAAAATTTTAAAGTCATAGTGGTAGTAGTATTTAGGAATCAAGAATCCCCAAGATTGCAACAAAAAAGATGCCACAATATAATAATTTCAATAATTGCTTTGTTTCATTGTTTTTTTTAAAAAAGTTGTATTGTTAGTCCAAAGAACTGTGCATGTTAATATGCAATGCCAAATTAGGCGGGATTGACAACGATCCATTAGGCGCTATTTTCTTACCTCATTCAGCACAACCACTTCAGATGATAACGGTAATAAATATTCATGCATGGTGTCACATATATATATCATACCATTTAGACATGACCTGATTTTTATTGCGTGATTTTTTCATCATCACACATTGCGTGATTTTTCGATAATACAGTATATGAAATTCATTTATAAAAAGATTGAAAATTTCTCAAACGCTCCCATAAGGAGATTGTTTGTAATTAGTTTTCGAAAAATCTCTGATAATACAGTATTGATACCAACATTATGAATCTTGGCAAAGCATACCGTTTGCAATTCACAATTTTCTTTTGTATATTTTTTCTTGCGATTGGTACTTTTGCGATAAAATGTACGTCTTCTCCAGATCCTGCCAAACAAAATATTGAAGATGCAAAATGTGCAAAAGCCTTAGGAAAAGGAACTGTGTGCTCTAGTTCTGGTAAAACAGTGAATAATTGCATTTATGCTTGCCATTCTGATAACGATTGCGTAAAAAGTTTAGGTAGCAAATGTGATATAGGTGTGAGCCCGCATTGGCTGTGTACATGCAATGTTCAAAATGGTAATGCTGATTGTTATGAAACTGGTATGGGCTTTTGCAACGCTAATTTTGACAACCATTGTATGAGTGATTCACTGAACAGCAACGATATTAGTACATAATTTGGTTGCAAATAATTATAAGAATACAAGCATATTTATGTTACGTTTAAGATAAGTAGTTTAGAGATAAATTTCTGATAGCGTGCGTGAAGCAATTTAGTGTTCTATATTATTTTTATTGATAAATAAACTTGAATAAGCTTTCATCAAACTTACACGTTTTGTAAGTCCGAAGTATGAGATTTTTATTAACATCGGTATTTATTTTGACATAATCATTAAAAAAAAAAGAGTAATCGTGAAACATTTTGACTATTACGAATCTGATTACATCATCTAGTACAATTAATTTTCTGATGGTGTGTTTTAAATTGCGTTATTCGTAGTAAAATAAATTTCCGATACTTTATTAATAATTTTAATTTCGAAGTGTTAGAGAAGTAAACGAAATATATGATGCTATCAAAGAGTGAGGGAATATGCGGATCCTAAACCATTTAATGCTAGTCCCAGCATCAAGTTATTTCCTTGCTCTCCCAGACTTTTTATAAATTTCTACATCTAACTTTTTTCTATCTATATCGCTAATTACGAGATTCTCAACCTCGCACTTTTTTTACATGAAATAAATAATCCAACTCATATGCACATCTACAGTATATCACACCCACCCATACGGGCCATATAAAGTATTAAGTTACGCAAGAAAACTTCACTTACGACTTATTTTTATAACAATCCACTCTCGTATTTAACTCAAGTACGATTCTGCGCCAAATTACTGCCCCGGCTGAAATTACAGTCATGTGATTTTTTTTTCCTCTGTAGTAACGTGTTTGACGATCATGATTTTTATCAAATATGTTTTTTTTTTTTGCAAAAAACAGTCTAAAATACATTACCTCTGATAATTTTAACCAACTATAAATGGAGTGAATAGGCAGGCCGGCAAAGATATCGTACTGCGCATTTCAGGTGATCGGCTCACATGACCGGTCTATGCTACAATAATACAATTGCGAATTTGAATTTATTGCTTGAAGTGAAGCAAGTAAGACAATATTCCATTCCATTTTTATACCATTCACCATGTAATCCATAATTCCCATGTTTTCCATCACAAATAGGGTATGGTGAGCTCCACGGCTGAGGTGATGCAAAATTATAATTATCAATCCCTCTAAAACTATTTTGGAATTTCAAGTATGGGAAGTGCTTTAAGATGGATTTGATAATTAATTCTGGATCAGGTCTGGCTTCGAAAGTGATAGGCTTGAAATCAGAGGCTTGAAGTTTTTCTGATATACTTATCACAGCTTCTGACAATTGCCATGGCTCATTTCCAGTTTCTTTTTTATATCTTTTGTATAATTTGGAACGAATCTTATCTGTCAAAATACTTGGTAATCCAGTTAATTTGGCATGCCAATCCAGATAATCGGCGGTTAGTATTTTAACAGACTCAGTCATTTTCCTTTTTATATGACTGCAAACAATTTAAATCACTTTTTTCTCATATAGATCTATTCATTTGAAAAAAAAATTAAAATTCCCAGACTATTGTAAAGCAATGAGACTACGCAACTATCTCAATTTCACGCTGTTTACATTTAATAAAGTAAGATCCTGCTTTATACCTACCTTCTATTTCTTCATCATCATGACCTAATTTGCATAATGGGCAGATATAGTTCCTGTATGATGTCTCATCAGTAATCCCATAATAATCAAAATTTTTACTACTACATTCTCTATATAGATTACGATATTGATCCAATATCTTGTTGCGAAAATAGGAATGAATCATAAGCTGGCTTAAATTGGGCTTGTTCATTAGTCTGATTGGTTTTTGAGTGCTTATCCTGACATCTAGTGATTTTTTCGATTCAGATTCAGTTGGCAGATCACATGTGTGTAAACAATTGTTCATGCTGATCAATTTTTGAGATTTGGTTAGTTTATTAGTATAAAGATTTATTATATTCTGGATTTGTGCATCAGTTAGTCTAGAGATTGCATCAGTACTAGATATAACCACTCCAATTTTATCTATTCCTATTCCTTTAAACAAGATATAGATGTTTTTAGCCTTTTGTATCATCTTACGCAAATACTTTCTTTTTTTACTGAAAAGATACAGCTTTATTTCATCATAAATCTGCATTCTTGCTATTTGATTGCTAATATTATTTTCAGATCTAAGGATTACAACCTTTTTTTCGTATTTCTCACTATAGTAATACCATCATAATTTTTCTTTCTGACCAGTTTTTTCAGCCTTGTTGAATAAATGAACTAAATGAAGTACAGAACCTGGAGTTACCTAGAGGGATCGTGTCAAATGAAACATGTTTAATAGATATAGAATTCAGTAAGGATGTAGAATTATGACATCTAATAAATTCAAGTAATTCATATATTAAATCTTGTTCTACTTTCTGATTATAGAGGATTTTTGCCACCTTGATCTCTGATAAATTAACCTGTTTCTCTTTACTATAAAGCGATTCAGAAGTAGTTGATGATGAGTTCTGGAAAAATACATGCAATTGGCTAAGTTTCTTTTTCCGATTTCTCTGCCTAATCTTATTACTAACCTTTTTCTTATGCATCTCATTCAAGAAAGTATCTGTCTTTCTATCATCCTCCAATGATCTGTTGTTAAAGCATTTCACAGATTCGGTAGTATCATACTGGTCTGCAACGGGTGATATATTAATTTGGTCTGCTAAAAGCGCTAAAGGCAAAAGTATTGAATCGATTGGAGACTTCAGTATAGATGTATTGCTTTGTGCCAAAATATTAACAGCATTTTGTTCCTGTTTGATTTTCCTGATATTATCATCTAATTTAGCAATAAGAGTAATCTTTTCTTTATCTTTCTATATATTCTAGGTTTGTAAATCTGGCTTCATGTTCTTCCAAAGCATGCAATTAGGGTATTGCGAACATATCTTTACTGATAGATTAACTTGAATTTATCAGGTCAGGTTTAACAATTGCAATTCAGCATCAGTTCAAGTTGTAACATAAATATAATCTGAATGACCTATTGACCTAAAACTATAATTTTATATAATATAAGTGATGGTATTATAATTCACTTTTTATATTGATTTTATATAATAAAAGTGAGTTGCGATATTAGGATTCACTTTTTTATATTGATTTTATATAATAAAAGTGAGTTGTGATATTAGGATTCACTTTTTTATATTGATTTTATATAATAAAAAGTGAATTTTAATATTGGGATTCACATTTTATATTGATTTTATATATAAAAAGTGAATTACAATATTTTCAAAAAAAATGTTTTGTATCATTTTTTTTTGATATTTTAATAAAAATCCTGAAAATTTTCAGGTTTCAGTTTAGATCAGATTAAATAGATAACCTAATATAACCTGACTTGATTTGATCTGAAAAAAAATTTCAGGTCAGTTTATCAATTAACTTGACTTAACCTGATACATTCAGAACTTTACTCCAAAACTTCAATTTCTTTAAATTGATACTAATCATTTCTTTTTCTTTTTATAGATTTCGAATTTTGAACTTTAGACTTTAGATTATATGACAGATAGGATCCCACTTACTTATAAAATAGGTCACTCCCAGGCCTAAGGTAAAAATCATATATAAAATTCTTTGTAGATCCTACTATAAAAGGAAATTTTATGTTACATTGTTATGATTTTTTTCTTTTTTAGCTAATTAACCAATAAAATTTAAGAAAAAAGTAAGGTAAAAACTATTAGTAAAGGGCTAATTTTCTACAGTGACCTTTATTATAAGTAAGCAGAGTCTTATGACAGATAGAACATTAAATAGAACATTAGATAGAATATTGCAATAAATATAATAAATACAATTTATACAAATTTTGAAATAAAATCATTGATTTATTAGTATATAATACATATAATGATCTTACAAGTATTATACAAGTATTATTGAGATATATTAATATCAATATAAATATAATATCTATGTGATATTTTTATGATATTTATAAACTGATATGTAACTTATATGTAACTATCTGTTTCATTAATAGATGCTATATCAGAATTATTAATCTAAAGATATCAAAATATGATATGTGAATTATCAAGTGATTATCAGATAACTAATATATTACTAATATTTTATCATTTAACCAGTAACTGTCTGGAAAAAAAGGGTTAGTAGAAATAAAAACTATGGATTAGAAAGTAAAATATCTAAACTAAAGCTCTGAATGGGTCAGTTTGGTCCAGATTATAGACGGTTTGAATTAGAGCTAAAATCTGTAAGAACTGAACTGAAAAACTGGCAGTTTGGTTCAGTTTAATCTGATTTTTATAAAAATGTGAAAAATTGAATAGATATCAATTTAGTGATCGTACAAAGTCGAGCCATATATCATTGGATTTGTTTTGATAAGACGCGTCTAATTGTGGTAAGATTATGTCTTTAGCATCAATAGATCACAAGTTAACTCACGCTAAATGATTTATCAATAATTGGAATTAGAAAGCCATCTATCAGTACTAGAGACATGATCTTAGCACCATTTGACGTGTCTCGTTGAGATGAATCTAATGAATATAAATTCATCCATATACGATCACTGGATGGCAAATAATGTCAAGATTCGCATTTTTTTAAAAAATTTCGAATGTTAAAAATTAAAAATTCCAATACATGAATTTATTCATCATCCAATAGTTGTATAAAGATGAAATAGGACTCATTGGATTCGTCTCAATAAAACGAGTTGAATGGTGATAAGATCACATTTCTAGCATCGATAGATAGCTTGCTAATACCAATTTTTTATAAATTATTTGGCGTAAATTAACTTGTAATCTATCAATGCTAAAGACATGATCTTACCACCATTTGACTCATCTCGTTGAGACAAATCCAATGAGTCCTATTTCATCTTTGCATAACCATTGGATGACGAATAAATTCATGTATCAGAATTTTTAATTTTTAATGCTCAAAAATTTTAAAAAAATGCGAATCTTGATATTATTCACCATCCAGTAATCATATATAGACGAATTTATATTCATTGGATTCATCTCAACGAGACGCGTCAAATGGTGCTAAGATCATGTCTCTAGTACCGATAGATGGCTTGCTAATTCCAATTATTGATAAATCATTTAGCGTAATTTTACTTGTGATCTATTTACTATTCGACGCGTCTCGTCAAGATGAATCCAATGATATATGGCTCGACTTTGTATAATCACTAGATCGATAGCTATTCAATTTTTCATATTTTTATAAAATATCGGATTAAACTGAACCAAACTGCCAGTTTTTCAGTTCTAATACCCGAATCGAACTGAACCAAATTTTGAGCCAGTTTTGGATTGGTTCTCCAGTTTAGCCCGAACCGTTCAGAGCTTTAATCCAAACTCATATTTACCACTGCTGTATTAACAATGTAATGTCATTAATTGTAGTTGTTTTAGTTCTTTTTTGAAGAACTTTAGCAGTATTATTATGTACAGTGTCTGAACTGGAAATTTCTGAAGAAGAGCTATTAGCTGCTTCTTTTTTTTTTTTTATCGAATAGTAAGGTCCCCTCTGGGATTACTGTTATTATTTTTTCATCAATTAGGTATAATTTAGTATAAAAGTTGTAGTGGGATTATATTAATATAAAGTGGAATTTTTTCTTTAGTAAAATTTTCACTGGTCAAAATTATTTCTTTCGTCACCAAGACCTTTCAGCAAAATTATGTCCGAAGTGTTACATAATTCGACTAGATTTTGGCTAAACTTAAAAATCGAAAAAAAATTGACCAATAACTTTTTAGTCAATATTTTATAAAATTATGTATCACATGCATTACATGATAGGTAATACTATATTTAACTTAAATTAACTTTTTTTTTTCTCACACCAGAGTGGTGCCATCTTAGGGCGGTTTGATTATAGCGTAGTATTAGATAGCGTTTGACTTTTGTTTTATCTTTTGTTCTTGTCTATCTTTCTGTAATCTTGTTCACATGGATATTAAAAATAAAAATAAAAAAAACTTTTTTTTTCTCACACTTTCACTTTTTCATTTTACTTTTCCACTCACCCTATTCATCACTCTTTCATTTTTCCCCTTTCTACTCACTCTTTTGTCTCCCTTTCCCTCTCACTTTTTTGTCTTTCTCTTTTCCCTTTCTTTCGTCCATTCCCTCTTCCTTCTTTTTAGGTGACGCTCCAGCTCTTTGGATACAGTATTTCAGTAAGTTTTTAATTTTTTTTATTTTCCTTATTTTCGCCTTAATAAACTAATTTCAAATTTTTTTTTTTAGTTATTCGGCTTTTAGACGCATGGAAATTTCGGTAGGAGAGTTAGATTTTTTTAAAAAATTTTATTTAACGAAACGTTTGCTAAAGTTTTCATTCTTTTTTTTTGTAGATTCAAGATCACCTCTTTTAAACGCATAAAAACTTCGGTAGAAGAGTTAGATGTTTTTATAAAATTTTATTTAACGAAACATTTGCTAACGTTTTCATTCTTTTTTTTGTAGGTTTAAGATCACCTCTTTTAGACACGTGAGAACTTCGGTAGAAGAGTTAGATGTTTTTAAAAAATTTTATTTAACGAAACGTTTGCTAACGTTTTCATTCTTTTTTTTTTGTAGGTTTAAGATCACCTCTTTTAGACACGTGGGAACTTCAGTAGGAGAGTTAGATGTTTTTAAAAAATTTTATTTAACGAAATGTTTGCTAACATTTTCGTTCTTTTTTTTTGTAGATTCAAGATCACCTCCTCCTTTTGGTGCATCACTGCCTGCTTTTGGTGTATCATTTCCGTTATCATCTCCTCCTTTCAGTCTACCTCTATTCGCCCTCAAAGTATAATAGTTATTAGGATTTAGGGCATGGGTTGATCGATGGTAAGTTTCAAAGTTAGGTTAATTTCGAAACTTTAAAAAAAATGATTTACTAATAATCGTTTCTTTCTACTTTTTGTAGGCTTCCACTTCAGGCTGATAGATCGAGTAAGTTTCGATTTTGAAACTTTTCGAAATTTTTTTTTATAACAGAATTGGTTTGCTAACCGTTTCTTAATTTTTTTTTTGTAGATTCTTCTTCAGACTAATATTGAATAGACAGGTAAATTTTGAAGTGTGTTTTGAAACTTTATTTTTTATTATTATTAAAGAAACGGACTAACCGTTTTCTTTATTTTTTTTTTTATTTGTAGTTTTTCATTATCGAATTGACAGGTAAGTTTCGAAGTATGTATCAAAACTTTAATTTTTTTTATTAAAGAAATGTTAAACTGATTGTTTCTTCTTTTTTTTTGTAGGTTTCCCCCTTGTGACTTTATTGGATGGGCGGGTNTAACCGTTTTCTTTATTTTTTTTTTTATTTGTAGGTTCTCTCCCTTGGGACTTTATTGGATGAGCGGATAAGTTTTGAATTTTCAAAACTTTAATTTTTTTATTGAAGAAATGTTAAACTAATTGTTTCTTCTTTTTTTGTAGATTTTCCCCTTAGGACTTTATTGGATGGGCGGGTATTGGATGGGCAGGTAAGTTTTGAATTTTTCAAAACTTTATTTTTTTTATTAAAGAAACAAACTAACCGTTTCTTTTTTTTATTTGTAGGTTTCCATTATTGAATTTGCGGGTAAGTTTTGAATTTTCAAAACTTTTATTTTTTTATTGATGAAACATTAAACTAATTGTTTCTTCTTTTTTTTTGTAGATTTTTCTTTTTGGACTTTATTGGATAGACGGATAAGTTTTGAATCTTTCAAAACTTTATTTTTTTTTATTAAAGAAACGAACTAACCGTTTCTTTACTTTTTTTTTGTAGGTTTCCCTTCAGATTTTATTAGATCAGGTAAGTTTCTTTTGAAACCAACTTTTTTATTTAAAAAATAGGTTACTAACCTTTTCTCTTTTTTTTGTAGGTTTTCTACGGACTTTTATCAGGTTAGGTGAGAATGATGGATGATGTATGGTGGGCGGTGGATGGTGTATATAGATGATAGATAGATATTAATTTAATATGTAATTTTTAATAAACGAATTAATAAAATTTAATTAATAAATTATTATAAAATTAAAATCAGTAATCAGTTAAATGTACAAAAATCAGTAATAAATTATTAGGTTTATTAACAATCATCAATTTGATTTTACTGATTTGTTGTCTGATCAATTTGTTGACAAGTGGGCAAATCGTCCATAATAATTTTGACGATTTTTTTGGTAATGATCGACCGAATTTAGACCAACATTCGTCCAACATTCGCCAATTTGAAATTTGGACGAAATGGAATATTCTGACTAGTGTTTAGATAAGGGATGATATAAAAAAGAAGTAGCCAAAAATTAATGAAGAACCTAAAGGTTAACTTTTTGCAAATTAGCCTTAAATTTCAAAAAAAAAATTAGTTTTTTTAGTAGTATAAGATCTGTCTCTTATACACATCTAGATGTGTATAAGAGACAGACCTAAAGGTTAACTTTTTGCAAATTAGCCTTAAATTTCAAAAAAAAAATTAGTTTTTTACAATTATTTTGGCATCCAGTAGTCCAATTTATATGAACTTTTTTTTTGTTTTGTAGTTTTTATCAAGCTTTATAAAATAAAAAAAAATCTGCATGAATCAGACCACTAAATGCTAAAATAATCACAAAAAACTGAAAATAAAAAAAAGCAAATTGGAGTTATGAATTTTATAAAAAATATCTGAGATCCTACTCCAATAGTGCCCAGAAAAATTCTTCAATTACATGACAAATTTTACTAATCATTTTCCATAATAGTTGATTAATTTTAGCAATAAAAAAAATATTTTTTTATATTTCAAATAAAGCTTTAAAATTTGCAAAATATATGTATTTTTGCCTTCTAAGTTTTGAGCAAGTTTACTTAAAATACCAAAGAGAGTTTAAATGCCATTTTTGCAAAATTCATCATTTTGAAAAATATATATAAAAAGCCAAAGATTATTCTAAGTAAATTTGTAAAATTATGGATAATAATAATTAAAATATGTATAAATTTATATCTTCAAGTTTTAGTTAAAAACAAGGAAATGATCGGTAAAATTGTCACATGATCTAAAAATTTTTCTTGTAATTTCACTCACAGATACTGTATAATACAAAATAAACATAATTATATAAATCCTTTTTCTTATAAATTATATTTACTTATTATATTCATAAATTTTTATTGATAATGTAAAATTTGATGTAAAAATGGATAATTAGGGCTCCGATCGGTTCAGTTCAGTTCAGTTTTTGCAAAAACTGATACCAAACTGAATTGATCGGTATTGGTATTAATGATTACTGAAGCCGATCAGTTTGGTAATCATCAATACCAATACTGGTCAATAATTACCGAAAACTGAACCGATTTACTAAGCTTTTTTTAAAAAATGTTTTCACAACGTTTTTTATTAAATTGTCAAAAAAAAAATGTTGCAAAACATTTTTTTAATTAAATATCTAATAAAAAACATTTTCGCAACGTTTTTTTATTAAATTGTAAAAAAAAAATGTTGCAAAACATTTTTTCATATTAAATTAACTAATTAAAAAACGTTTCGAAACGTTTTTATTAAATTATCAAAAAAAAACTTTTTTTTAAATTAAATATTTAATGTAATTAATAAATATGTAATTTTATTGTTTGAAATTGCTAATACATAAATAAAATAATGAATTTCTATCTATTATTAAGACAACTTGAAGAAATTAGAGCCAAAAGGGTATCGAAAGAAACAATTAATAAACTTAAAAGCAAATTAGTAAAAGGAAAAAGATAATACTAAATAAGTAATTAATTAGTCAGTATGCTATTTGTCCTATAAAATAAAGAACTTTGAATATCTGCAGTTAGCCAGGGTGAAGTATCCCGATTT